GCATTCCTGAGAAGGCCCAGCGTGGCCACGGAGGGCCCCAGAGAGAGGGCAGCAGTGCAGAGGAGGCCCCAGAGAGTGGGCGAGTGTATTTGACAGACCAATGTCCATTCCAACTGCGAGGCTTGGGGCATGGTACAAGGGGTGGTTGGAGCCACACATAGCCCATAAGGCTAGGGTGCCCGGGAAGCACCCATCAGACAGTGGGACCCACGAGGGGCCCGGGAGTCCACGGGGACAGAAGTCGCAACGAACCGTGTCCAAGAAGACATAAGGCAGCCTCCCAAACTTATTTAAACAGCAAAGATGTGGCGGGCAAGAATTAGAGGGTGCCCTTGGGCCGACTTGGCACGGAGAGAGGGGGCCTTAAGGAGATCATGGCCCTCCTGTAGGACCCCGCCATGACAGGCATGAACACATAAACAAGGTAAGGAAGGGCTGTGATATACAGTATATCAGCTACATGGGAATTGCAACTTTGCACAATTCTACACCACAGTAAATGACAGCTGATCTGTGATGGCTGACTTCTGTTTTATTGAAGTCAGCCATAGTTACAATATCACTACCTCTCTTTTATTGAAGGGTAAATTACCATAACCACAGCTTTAATTTATGACAGGGTAAAAGTGTGAATACACACAGTACTAGCATAACATAAGTATTGTCATGAAAAGACTTCAGGATTAAGTTTTACATGATTATCAGCTACTCCTGTGAAAGCCCTCTAGAAACAGCATTCATGTTCTTTATAGTTTATACTAATAGCTGAAAATGGGATTTAAGGATCTTGATTTAAGTAGCAGCCAGGGAATGATGAGACCAAGACCACCAATGTCAAATTCTGACCAGAATGATTTTCAGCTAGAAACAGGGCTCAGGATCTTTGCAGAATTCCCCAGATCAAATAATTCCCTGAGGGTGGGACAAATCTGTATTTTAGCCACCTTAAAAAAGGGAGGACAAACTTCTTCCTGGGAATGCCCATCTGCTGTTACACTGCAACTGTCCCACCAGCACACCCTGTAGTTATACAAAGTAGCCAAATTGCCCTACCTTTGATCCTCCTAGACTTATCCCTACAGGATCATGCAAATATAACAGCTGCATTGTAACAGTTTGTATCAGTACACTTCGATATTGATAAAAATGTCATTTCTATCTAAATCTTGAAAATCTGAAGGCACTGGGCCTTGGATATGTTTATATGTAAACATCTATGATTACATCTTATTTTGAATGACCTTTCCAATGGCACTTCTAAGATAATTAAAATACTATTGTAACTGGGTCTCAGTTGAAGAGATGTCTTGTAAATGTGACTGACACTTTTTCAGAAGTAACTTACCACATGATGAAGACCTAAATGCATCTTCCCAAGTTAAAGCATTCAGAAAAATGTGTTCATTTTACACTTTTTTAACATAATGATAGACAAGGTACTTAATCCCTTCTGGAATGTTTTTAACTCTATACACTTATATCCCACAGGACTGTGGCATACAGCCTTCACATTTCAAACTGAAAAAATTTAGGCTTGAAGGTACTTTTAAAGGCCACCAAGTAGTGCATCTTAATATTTCCTGCAGAAAGCAAAAATACTGGGCTTGTTTTCACCATCTCTCTTCTGTGATATGAAAAGAGCCTTAGAAGCCTGTATCATTTCAAAATAAAAGGTAGAGGACTATAACATCAAAGAGATCACATGGAAACTTTATTTAGATTATTATTTGCAAAAAGCCAGACCACTTTAGATAAAAGCCGTTCCCCAGTTCTTCACAAAGGGGTGAGGAAACCTAGAGTACATATTCCAAAATCAGCCAAGAAATCCTCCAAGAGCAAAGAAGTTGGAGCTTTCCTACCAAGCTTTTGGCAACCCTAGGAACGATTTCTGTTCCTTTCTTTCTCTTTAACACTTAGCAGCCTGCACTTTGCAGAGGATGCAGTTCATCATTAGCTAAAGATGACTATTTAAACTTTATGATATCCTCTACACAGATGTCAATACAAATATGAACCAAAGGTACAGGAAGTGAATGTGGGACTATTATTTTTAAAAGATACCTTATTTGGATATAGATATAAAGGATGGTTTCAGCCATCCAAGTCTCTGTGCTAAAGATGTGATTTTTGCCATCACATTTCTCTATTTTTCACATCTGTTTTCTCTTTTGTTGGAAACATTCATAAAAGCAGGAAGGAACTGATTGACTGTAAAGGGCAAATGTCAAAACTATGTTCAAAATAGTCTCTTAACTTTCAGTTATTGAAATGCTAAGAATTACTTATAAAAATACTAGGTACCGAATTTTCAGAAAAGTGTGGCTTTTTTCAATTGATCGTGGCCAAGTAAAGATATTGAGTTTCTCCTGGGGGAGTGTTTGCTCTGCCAGGAGAAACTACAAGTGTACATATATTCAGGATTTTTCTCCGAGAGCAAAAATGGCAACTCCAGTAGGAAAAAAAAAAAAATCAAACAAACAGGAACAACCAGAGTTAAATCACTCCTGGGAGGGTTTCTCCTGGCAAAGTGAAGGTCTGTACACATTACCTTTTTAAAAGAGAAGTCACAGCACAGTCCTCTAACATCCCAGGGTGCTTTGCAGGCCCTCCTCCTTTCCCTCCCTCCCCCTCTCTGCTGCCATTCTCTCTTCAAGCAGACAGAGGGCTACAGAGCACTCTTAAGATCTGTGCACCCTTGGCTATGCAGTCAGCACTGCAAGCTCTCTACTCTTCAGGAGATCAGCATTTGAATGTCTGTTCAGGCATCTCCTTGTCAGTTTTTTTTTCTACCAGAAAAACAAACCCATCAGAATTCTTCCAGATCATATGAAAATGTGTACACAGTCAGTATTCCCTCAAATGGCATTTCCTATTAGAAGCTAATTTCAGTACCTAATTTTAAGACGCAAGTCTTAATTCTGCCATAATAATGAAGACCATTGCAATGATATATTTTATAATTTTATATCATTTAAACTGTGACATCATTGGAAAATATTTTTTACTTCTCACAATGAAGTTTAGACACAGCAATTATAAGTAAAAGCAAAGTATTGTAAGAACAGAACAGTATATAAACAGGACCTTCAAAACATTACATTAAAAATCATAAGATTGTATAATGCATTTTTATCCTAATCACTGAACAAAACAGACTTAAATTTGTATTGTACCATACTTAACTACCATACAAGACACATTCACAATCCACACCAATTTTGTACACTATTCATCCAAATGGAACACTATGAATCACGCTACATCCAGCAGTAATACGAATGTCATTTGGCACATGTCTCTTTAATAAAAATACACTTCACTTTAAGCGACTGTACTTTGCAGTCCTATAGTTATGAAAAACAGTATGACAATGCCCAGAGTGGTTTTCCATAAACTTGTTAGTTGAACTATATAAAAAAGGCCCCTAACTTACTTATTACAGAATATTAAGTGCTATGCCATCATGCAGGCATACTCTGGAAAAACAAAAAGATAATTAAATTATGTAAAATGTAAATCTTATAATAAAATGTTAATATTTTCTAAACACCACTGACTATGTCAGCCCATTCTGAATGATGCTAATAAACAAACAAGACACTTTTTCTTTTTTTTCTTTTTTTAATAGCTAAGCCATAAAATATTCCACCTCTCCTGTTGCTGAAATGCAAAAGCTTTATAATCAATAACATCATCAGTTATGTACAGCACAGCTAATCCTCTTTGCTCTCACTCCAGCTGCTTAATTAAAAATAAATCCTGTCAATTGTTCACATGAGGAAAAAACCCCACAACCCCAAGGACAGTTACCTTAGGGCTGTGCAAAATCGCACTGTTCCATTCTGACTTCAGTTTCAAGGTCTGGACAGAACAGTGTTTTGTATTGAATTTAATTTCAAGTTGAAACAGCCTCACTGTTTCGCTTCATGGAAACAGTGAGACTGTTTTGACATTTCACCCAACCATAGGGCTAGGGAAAGGAACTCAGCCCAGCTGGGCTGAGTTCCCAACCCCAGCGCTATGGTTGAAACATTTCAACTAGCCTTGTTTTGTTTCAAGGCTATTTCAACGTCCTTTTTTTTTTTTTGCTTTGATTTTGCTGTATTGACCTCAAAATGAGTTGAAACGAAACAGCCGGAAAAATTTCGCACAGCCCTATTACCTATCCTATTTTTAGCTGTTTTTACTATGTTTCAGCAACTTAAAACAAGGAAGAAAAACCAAATTCTGTGAATCATCAACCTATCTGAAGGCCCAGTTTGGAAATGGCTGAGCAAAAGAACAGAATGGAGAATTTAATCTTGTTTCACAAATACAAGATACAGTACTACAGTTATACTTACTTTTTTGATGTTAGAATGGGCATATTTATCTGGGCATCTGCATTAAGAGAAAAAAAGATTTATATGGGTTTTTTGTTATGAAAAATACCAAACACTTATAAAAACAGTCAAGAAAATAAAAAGTGGTGTGACTTACCTCGCCACTTACCAACCAGTAAAGGGTCTGAAATACTGTATTCTGGTCGGCTTCTTGAAAGAATACCTTTTCCAAAATAGCCCTACATGGGAAGAAATAAAATGGTTATCTGATCAAATGTTATTCATGAGCTAGGTACCCCTCCCATATATAACTAAACTATAAGGAGATCATCCAAAATATCTGAACTCTCACAAAGCCTCAACTTCATAAAAATCCACTTATACAGACATATCTTACAATGCTCTGGGCTACTTTAAATAGGGATTGCAAGCCTATTCCAGAGGTTAGGGTTGCTAACAATGAATGCTCTTCTACAATAGTCCTCTCTCCTAGATAGTGAGGAAGCCAGCTTTAGTGTCTCCCTGAAAGTTAATTATAGCAGGGCCCCAAATGAATTAAAGCTTAAATAAAGTAAAATCAGAATTCCATTCAAAATTCAATAGATAGGTGGAATATAAGACTGGTTGGAGTTTAGAGGAGGGATGGGCAAAATACAGTCTGTCAGCCAAATCCAGCCCACAGGTGGACAGCTGCCAACTCACTGGATCTAGCCCATGCGTGGCCGCCGCATGGTGCCAGGCAGGACTGCTTGTGCCCAGCAGCATCAGCCCTTGATGCAGCAGCATCAGCTGTGGACCCACATGGGGCTTCCGCCACACCAGGCAGGTGGTGGAATCAGCTGTGGATGCCACCAGCAAGTTCAGGAGCCCAGGCGCAGAACCTGCCGGTGGCTTCCAGACAGCACCACCCTCACAGCGTGGCAGTCCTGCCCAGAGCCTGCCAGCAGCATCAGCTATGGACCCAGGTAGGAGCTCCTGCCGCGCCAGGCAGGCATCAGCATGAGCTGTGGACACCACTGGCAGGTTCCACATCGGGGCTTTAGAACCTGCTGGTTAAGCCCGCAGCTGAGGCTACCGCCTGCCCACTGCCAAAGTCCCTATCTGGGTCCACAGCTGAGCTTCAGGGCTTCTGGCATACTATAGCTCTGGCCTAGTTCTGGAAGAGGGGGGGGAGGTGCAAGAAGAGAGAGATGGATGAGGCCCTCGAAAGGTCTCCAAACCCCATTAAATGGCCCTCCAACCAAAATATTGCCCACCCCTGGTTTAGAGATTTAGGCTTGCTTCCTTCATTAACCATAAACATTTGTAGCATTCTATTTTAATTACAACTGGCATGAAAGCAAATACTTAGTAGTAGTCTTGTTTGATCTCAGTATTGGAAATAAATATAGAGATAGAGCCATCCAATAAGAGAACAGATCATAAAACAATACCCAAAACCACAATGGCCTAAAGAGGGCCTATATCACTCAAGAAAAAGTCCTTCTGAAGTGAAAGGACCTGCCTGTGTGTACCTAAAGTACATAAAACCTAGCCAGGTAGATGCTGTATGTCTCTGACCTTAATAAAAAATAAGAGGATGCTAGTTACATACATACATAAAATGTAAAAAGGACAAATGGATGAACAAATTTTTTTAATGATTTCATTTTTGTTAAATCAAAGTGTTATTAACATTTTATACAATTTTAGACTGTTATTTTTACCCTTTTTATTTATGATGCTTTAAGTGATGTTCCAAAATTCAGCATATTCTTATCTGAAGGAGACAGAGCTATATGTTGTGAACTCACTGTTTCTCAAGTGCATCCTTAAGCATTAAGCATAAAACCAAACACTATCTATTACACTTCATAGCTTCTCATGATCTATTTTAAACTAAAACAAATGTAACCAGCTCATTTGGCCTCACCAGCTGACTCAGGGCTGCAGGGTTCCTCATGGGCCAGACTGGGACCCACCTCCAGTAGTGGGGCAAGCAGTGGCAGTGTTAACACCTGAGGTTGCCTGAGTCACTATTCAGCGCAAAGAACTGCAGAATGTAATGCCACCTCTGCTTGCCCTGCTGTCAAAATCCCAGCCCCTTTGGGAGCCCAGTGGGCCAGACAATATGCCTGCAACCTGTATGATATCTGCATTAAAACAGGGGTCCTCAGCCCCTGGCCCACAGGCCAGATCCAGCCAATGGAGCTTTGTTATCCAGCCCACTGGGCTCCCCAGGGGTCTAGAAATTTGGCTGCAGGAGACTGGTGGTGCCTTAATTGTTGCTCCCCTGCTGCCAAGTATCTGGACCCATGGGAAACGTGGCAGGCCAGACAGCATGGTCCTGTGTGTTAGATTAGGCTCAGCCTGATCCAGACAGCGTGGGACCCAACCCTACACACTCACCCCATGAAGGAAGCTGGCCCCACACCGCTCATTCTGCCCAGGGGGCAAACCAGCTGAGCACCATGGCACTAAAACGTTTAGGGTGTCTCTACATGTGCTTGGGGGGTAGCATTTTAATTGGAGCAGTTCCTGGACAGCAGCTCTAAATAAAATGCCACAGCATCAATGTATTCAGCATCCAGTACTTCAGAATGGCCGCGAGGGCGTTTAACTGAAGCTAATTTGATTTTGATATGCGGGAGGCTGAAAGGCGGGAAGGTGAATACACACGAAAGTGACGAGCGCGCGAGCGGTCTCATTAATTGAATGGAGCCTGCTCCGGTTGTGGTTGGAGGGGCAGGAGCAGGTGCCCAGCGCCTCCCCGCTCAGCTAGGAAGAAAACAGGGCTTCAGTCTGACTCGGAACATTAAGACAGCAGCTCCCCGGGCAGACCCGGCGGCGGCGGCGGCACCTGGCTGTACAGCTGCTCCATGTCCTCCGGGCTCCGGACCAGCACGTGGTTGTTCAGCATTTCCGCCCGGCAGGGCCCGAAGTGCCGGGAAGCAGGCAGGGGAAAGGGCGGCCGGTGAGGCTCGTACACTCTCCTCTTCCTCCGCGGGGCCCGGAAACCTGCTTCGGCCATGTCTCGGCTCTCCCTGAGGCCGAAGGCAGAAATCCGGTCCGAGCGCGGCTCCCGGAGAGCCCAGGTCCTGCGGCTGCGCCACTGCCAGCCCAGGCGGGCTCCCGGGGCGGGGCGGGGCGGGGGAAGCGGGAGTGCGCTGGGCCCGGGGAGGCAGGGTTGACTGCAGCCCCGCTCTCAATGGCCCCCCTCTCCGGCCCACAGCCGTCTCTCGTGACCACAGCAACCGCAGGGCCGTAAAGCAGCGAGGGCGAGCGCGTCGTGCCGTAGCTTCGCTGTGGCGTCGGGGGGGAGGGGCGTGCGCCTGTGCAGGGGACTCCCAGGAGCAGGGATAGGCCCTGCCCCTTCCCGATCAGGCGGCATGCAACTCTTCTGGGCTGCGCTGCGCTGCGCTGCAAGCTTCCCTGTCGCAGCCGTGAGCTGGGCCCGGAGGCTGGGCAGTGGCCTGTACCGCACGCGCTCGGCCAGCGGGGGACGAAGTCCCCAGGGAGGGCAGGAACGGCCTTGGCAAAACGCGCGGAGCGCTGCAGCCCTAGCGGCGGGAGATGCCCGGGGGAGAAGGCCCCTGTGGTAAAACCCGTGCGCGCTGCACAGACCCGAGCTGGTCCCCGGGGGTTTGTGCAACTGCAGCCTGGAGGCACCGAGTGTCTGCGGGACCGTCTGGCCTTTGGGTTCTGGCTCAGTGGCATAAAGCGGGGTGGAGGTCTGGGCAGCCTCTGCTCCTCCTTACTCCCGCCTAGGCGTACGTAAAGGGCTGGGTCACCTCCCAGACACGCATCATGAGCTGGAAGAATTGACTGTCGCCATCATGCGTGGGGATAGAAACTGCAGTATGCCACAAATGAAGAATGGGGGGAAACAAGTGTTTTGTCAGGGCACTAACTGAACATTTAAAAAACAAAGTTGCTTTTTACACCACCTGGACAGCATTGGTGGAGGAGTTTCTAGAAAACTGCAGCCTTGTGTACTTTTATAGCACCTCCCCACTTCATTGTAGTATCTAAGCCAGTGGTCTCCAACCTTTTTAAGGTGTAGATCACTTTTTGAAGTAAAGGGGCAATCCAGGATCTATCACCCTCCCCTGCCCAGCAGGCCACTTCGTGGGAGAGGGAAGGGACAGGAGGGGGCAATTAAGGGCCCCCTAGGTGAGGGAGGGAGTGGGGCAGGGGTGAGGGGCCCTGGCCCAGCTGGCTGGTGGGAGGGTTGGAGCCCAGACAATTCACCCAGGCATACAGGGTGGCTCCCACTGCTGCACATACCCCAGCGGAGGTCATGCGCCCTCCTATTTGTGCACGGGGCGGAGGCAGCTGTGGGTCGAGAGCGTGGGCCACTGGCAGGGCTGGGGCAGGAGGGGGCTGTGGGTCTGGAGTGCGGGGCAGACACCGGAAGGGCTGGGGGCAGGGGCTGCGAGTCCAGAGTGAGGGGCACTGGCAGCGCTGGGGGGGCAGGCAAGGGCTTGCACGTGAGGGGCAGAGGCAGGGCACAGGCCCTTCATCACTGCCCCCTCCCCATCTATCACACCCCCTTCTCCTCCCCCACCTCATTCCCTGCCTTCCCAGCGGTGGGGTGCACGCAGTGCTGAGCCAATCAGCTCATCCAGGGCTGTGCGGCAGGGTGGGGAGGTTCTAGCAGTGGAAGCCCCGCCATGCAGTCCCAGATGAGCAGATTGTCCCAGCACCCGGCCTGGGAGCAGCCTGGCGCCATTCATGCCCCTGCCTGCCTGGTGGTGGGGCACACATGGCACTGGACCACTCCCGAGCTGAGTGCTGAGCCGATCGGGTCATCTGGGGCTATGTGGGGGGCTTGCAATCGACTGGCTGGTGACCACTGATCTAAGCAGTTCACAAGTACCATCCCCATATTATTGGTAGGGTTATGAGTGACAAAGACTTCTGCATATGATGTGTCAACTTCTTAGAGGAAGTTGATGCCAGAGCAGGGAACTGAAACAAAGTTTCCTAACGCCTACATCAGTGCCCTAAATAGACCCGCCATCTCAGCCCATCCCCCAAACTCCCCCTTAACTCACACCCTGGTGGCAGTGCAGCCCTGGTCCCTTCCCCATGATTGGCCTGGAGGTGCATGTGCACTTTCCTGCCAGCAACAGGCTGGGCCAAGGCTCTGCAGACCTCGGTGCAGGAGCTTGCAACCTCCCAGCTACCTGCAACAGCCCGCCTGGGCTCTGGCCAGGCCCCTGCTGCCCTCCACAGAGCCCAGGCTGCTCGCAGCAGACAGTGGGGAAGCTGCAAGCAGCAGCACCTTGGTCTGTGAAGCCCTGGCCTGGCTCATAGCTGGTGGCGGGTGGGTGCACACATGCCTCAGGGGAGATGTAAGGGGCCTGATTCCTTGTGGCAGTGCAGCCCCGACCCCTTCCCTGCCATCAGCCTTGAGGCATGCGTGCCAAGCAAAATGTCTGTGTGTGTCATGCTCTGGCACGTCCTGGGGTTTGCCAACCCCTGAATTAGTCAGTCAAATAAGCACATTTCAGAAGCAAAAAATTATTTTCTTTTTTGATTTCATAGATTTCATAGACATTCGGGCTGGAAGGGACCTTGGAAGATCATCCAGTCCAGCCCCCCACCCAAGGGGCAGGAAGTCAAGGGGGCACACAGGATCCCAGCAAGATAAGCATCCAAATTTCTCTTGAAGGTGCTCATTGTAGGTGCTTGAACCACCTCCGATAGCAGGCTAATCCAGATCTTGGGGGCTCGGACAGTAAAGAAATTGTTCCTTATGTACAGTTTGAAACGGTCATAGAAGAGTTTGTGACCATTCGATCTTGTCATCCCTTAGGTTGCTCTGGTGAACAGACATTCCCCCAGATCCTGGTGAACACCCCTGATAAACTTATAGGTGGCCACCAGATCACCCCTGAGCCTGAGCTTTTCCAGGCTGAAGAGTCCCTTAGCTCTCAGCCTCTCATCATAAGGTCTGTTTTCCAGACCTCTGATCATGCGCGTGACTCTTCTCTGCACTCTCACAAGCTTCTCCACATCCTTTTTGAATTGTGGGGCCTAAAACTGGATGCAGTACTCCAGCTCCAGTACACCAAGGCCGAGTACAAGGGGAGAATGACATCCTGGGATTTGCTTGAGAAGCATCTATGGATGCAAGCCAGTGTTGTGCTTGCTTTACTAGCTGCAGCATCGCATTGAAGGCTCATGTTCATCTTGTGGTTAGTGATGACCCCCAAGTCTCTTTCTTCCATAGTGCTAGCTGTTGGAGCCGAGGGTGGGCTAAGGCTATGGCCAGTAGCCCGGACTGTCAGGTGGGGTTTTTCCGCGATGGAGCAGAGTTAGGCACGGAAGCGTATTGGTTGTACAAAGAAAGCTTTACTTACACTGCCGATGGTCACAGTGCAGGAAGGAAACTTGCATGAGTTACAGTTGCACACAACAAACAGAAGTGAGATCTCCCCCGAACCGAACCGAGATGAGTTGTCGATGTACGACTCCGCACGCTCTGGGGCTGCAAGAGATTTGTACCTGTTACTGAGCTCCAGCGGGGCAGAGGCTTTGGTGCAGTGGGCTTTAGGGCCCTTGACCACCTTGGTCCATCCCCTTGACTGGACAGAATCGGAGAATCAAAAAATTGATTTTTTTTTTTTAATTCAGAAACACAATTTCTGACCTAACACATTCTTCTGAAAAGAAAAAAATATGTTTCATGCTTTCTAAAAGTTCATGAAGGATGTATTGACCAGTTGTTTATTAAAAAAAAATACTGGTAAAAATGACTAAGCAAAACCCCCAAGCAATTACATTTGTTATACAATTACTTCCTTCTTGAAATATCTACTTTACATATTTTTCTGAGGAGTGTTAATTTACTCCTGACTTGAGCTAGAGGTCCCTTTCAAGCCTATATTTCTGTTATTCTATAATTCTTAGGGCTTGTTAAAAAAAATGAAAGCTTAGTCTGTATACAATTCTGTGGAACTATTTGTATGTATGGCATTTTTTGTTTTTGTTTTTTCTCAAGGACATTAATGATAAAATGATAAGATAATACAGTACATTATTCCATTGGAGCCAACAAGTCATATTGGATTTCACACAAGACAAAACAAAAAATGCCTTTAAAATTCCACAAAATTTAGATTATCATTTGTTACTAGTTTGCTTTTTGTCCATTACTTCTACAAAGTCATCCCATAAAATTTAAGGCTAAATACAGGTGTTCAAGAAGCCCACGGCGGAAACACACTAACTTTTGAGCTTTACTCTAAGTGCCTGTGGCTAGGTCGGGAGGAAGCAGAACACATTAGCACTTGGGGGAGGGGTCCTCAAAGCCTGCCTGCCTGACCGGAGCCCGGCAGGCAGTGGGGACTCTTGCACACCTCCCAGCATGCCCCGCAGGCTCCCAAGGCTGCAAAAGATTCCCATGTGGAGCTGAAAGAGCAAGCTACCCCTGATTGACTGAACATCATGGCCATCCACGTGGACCTGATGCAGCAGTGGCTTGTCATGGCCGTGAGCCGGCTGTCCCACTCATGCCCACCCAGCGCACCCTGTGCCAGCCATGTATATGTGTGTCCGTCCAAATATTTGTGTTCTGTGAGTGTGTATATGTATGTGTGTCCCCCAGATACCTGGGTTCTATATGTTGGTATGTGTGAATTTGTGTGTGTCCCCCAGATACCTGGGTTCTGTGTGTGTGTGTTTGTGTGGGAGACAGCTGGGTTCTGTGTGTGTGTACATGTCCTGGATGCCTGTATCCCATTCCCCCCCGCCTCCCCGACTACCGATATTGGTAGCCCAGGCCCCACACAGTGGCAGGCTCTTTGGATCCATGAAGCCCTGGCCAAGTAGCACCTCACATATGTGGACTGGGATCCTTCTCCTCACACACGTGGACTGGGGCTGTAGGTCTTTGGCTTCACATGCCCTGGCACCTGGCCATGGGTTTCTGGCACCAGGCTCCTCTAGCCCTGTGTCCTGGGCACTGCTGCCCACAACCCACACTGTCCCCTTTCCCCTCTCCATCCCGAGCCCCACCCCCATTCTTCCGGGGGAATGCAATGGGAGGAAGAGACTTGCCTCATTTTAATCAAATGTTAAAGCTGCCAAACTTTTAGTTTATTTATTAAACACAAACTGCAACTTTGCCCATTCCGGAACTTGGAACCTTCTTCTCAGTTAACATTGGGAGAGTGGGGAAAGACCCTGGCTGCACAGGGCAGTTATGATGTTGAGGGGAGGACGGGAGTGGGCAGCTGTAGGGGCTCAACTTAACAAACACAAAACCTTGACGCGGCAGGGGGAATGCTGCATGTGGGACT